CGATCAAAGTAATAAGTCCCCTCAAGCAAAAAGCTTCTCTCAAGAGTGGAAACGAAACATTGAAATTGCTCGAAATTATCTTGAGAAAGCTTAGAAACGGTACAAAAAGTTTGCAAATCTAAAGCGTCGTTTCCTTGAATTTAATGTTGGAGATTTGGTAATGGTTAAACTCCTCGACAGAAACTGTTTTAAACTGACAAGATGGAAAGACTAAAGATTGGTGCCAAAATATATTGGATCATTACCCATCATGAAGAGGATTGAAAGAGTTGAACTCCCTTCATGGTGCAAAATCCATAAGGTCCTTCATGTTGGTATACTCAAGCCATACTTTGCCGATAAGGAGAACGCATCCAGAAATGAGTCAAAGCGACCTGTGGTTTGAACTGAAAAGAGCCGAAAAGAAGGTTATTGAAGAGATTCTTGACCATTGAACTACTCGAGCTTCTAGGAAATATCATCAAGAGTACTTGGTCAAATGGAGCGGATGCAGCAATGAGGAGAATACTTGGGAAAGAGAAAAAGATCTTGGAGCTTTCAAACCATTAATTGAAGCATATCATTCATCGATGACTTCGAGGACGTCGCCAAAACAAATGGGGGTGAATGTCAAGGACCGCAGTTTTACTTAAGCCATTTGACTTAATCGCTGCCGCAGTTTGCACAATTTTGACAGCACATTGTAAATATTAGTTCAAGTTTGAGTTGTAATTTTCTTTCCATTGTAATAATTTATTTTAATTGTAAAATAACTCTGATATTGGTAAACTTTTAGCATGACTCCTCGTCATTTAAACGTCTATTCCTATCACTTAGGTATTTGTTCCGTAAGCTATTATAGGGGGTATTAATCTTTCAAAAATCTTTCAAACTTTCTGGTGTTCGTCCCCTGCACCAGCTATTGTAATTTCATACTTTCATCAATTGTAATTTCTAGCTTTCAAGCAATCAATGATCAATTTGCTTTCAATGCATCTCGATTTTATGTTACAAGTTTTCTATAAATTGTAATCAAATTTTCTTTCTTCCCAAAACGACAGAGAGAATGCGGAAGGTAATCTAAATGAGCAGTCTACTGCCGCACGATATTCCTTTCTGTGCCAAGAAAAAAGGCACCCCGTGAAACCTACACTTCTACAACCTCATTCAAAATTGTTGTTCTACAAAGAAGTTATTTACTATAGATATGTTTGCATACAACTTCAACTGGAAGGGATAGCAATGAGCCCGTTTTACTTCGACTGGGTGATTGTCCCTCTTTTTTTATTTCATTTTTTTCAATTGGATAACTATACATTAATTTCGTCTCAATTAAGTTAACTTCATCCAATTTCACAATAAATTGACTACCACGCTATCAATTTCCATCAATCAAAGTCACAGAATTAGATAGGATTGCCTTAGTTGAAATGAAACTAAAGTGTAATTACTCAATTGAGCAAAATTAAAGTAAAGTTATCTTATTCACAAAGTGAAAATATATTTATCGCGAATAAAATTAATCATATAATTTTTATTTGACATAAAAGTTTATTCAACCTGATACTGTCCACTTTAGAGATGGCAATTTTCCCCGCCCCGCCCTGTCCCCGTGGGGCCCCGCCCCGAATGGGGCAAAAAAACCCTCCCCGAACGGGTTGGTGGGATGGGGCGGGGCGAGGTTCGCCGCCCCGTCGCAGTTCGCGGGGCGGAGATGCCCCACCCCAAACCCGCCTCGTGAAGAATTAAAAAAAAAAAAAATTT